GCAATTAAATTAATTAGAAGTCAGTTAGAAGGGTGATTAATGGCTTCTAAAGTTTTTCCCAAAATTGAAATAAAAATGACATAGATACGGGTTTTTGGTTAGCAAATTTCCGAAATAACTATTTTAAATTCTGCAACAAAGATGTGATATCTTCAAAATTTATTTTTAAATCTCCATGGAAAATTTCGTCTGCCTAGAAAATTTCCAAATGTCTATTTCAGATTCCGATGTGAAATCTTCAAAATTTAGTTTTAAATCTCTAGGCAAAATTTCTTCTGGCAATTTCCTATGTCTATCTCAGATTCTACCACAAAGATTTGAAATCTTTAAAATTTATTTTACAATCCTCAGCCAAAATTTCTTCTAGAATCTAAATTTTATTCCTTCGGATTTGTTGTCAAGTCATCCTGTCGGATTAATATGTCTACCTTTGTATGCGCGTTATGAAACATTTTATTTTATGATAGTAACCACCGAGCAGCAGCAGCAACAGCCATCAATTACGGAAATTTATGAAGCTATTCATTTGGTCTGGAATAATATGTGTCTATAGCATCTAATCATCATATTCATTACCGAACATCATATATCGTCATTTTTTCGTCTATTTTTGGTTTAATTTCAAGCTCCTTTATATATATATTTTTTTTATCTCACGACAACAATCTTTCAAATCATTGCACACGCGCCGCACCTCCAAATGCTTCGTTTTTTTACTATTTTTTTGTTTGATTTTTTTCAAACATTTGTGTTTATTTTTTATTTTAAAATTCAAACTTCGTTTTCTTAGTTTCACACCATTTTTATGTTGTTAAAAATTCTGGTAATGGATCTCTTTGCATGTTTGAACATCGAATGGCAGAATATTAATGTTCAATGATTCTCTGTGTGTCAATGGATATTGAACAATTACAATTATTTCATTCATAAAAAAACCATCAATTAAATCAATTTTTTTATTAAGAGATGATGAGTCGAATATATTGATATTCAAAATTTGTTGATATTTTAAATTATTAATGTATTCATAAATAGCGTGAAACGGATATTATTTAACGCCTTAACTCGAGTTGGGATGTGAATATCTAACGTTAGAAATTTCTGGAAACAAAATGTTCAAAAATAATAATGAAAAAATATACCTTCACATAGGATGTAAATCTCCATCAGCCTTATGGCTAATGAGGCAAACATGTTTCCCATCGAAATAACTCTCGAAGGGAGTAACCTCTTTAATACAAACTTGACACATCGTAATATTTCTTCAAAACTTTTTTTTAAAGTGAGTATAAATTACTCTTTCGAATCGAGCTTTGCAATGAAAAGGAAAGCCAGGAGAAGAACCTACCTAACCACCATTATGCGACGGGTTTCGCCGTTGGTTAAGCGGCTCATCAGGCATATTGGGCTTCACAAAGGTCGTATGTTGATAACTTGTATTTATTCCGCCCTGATGCGAAACTTGCATATGCGAATTAAATTCAAATTTGTCAAGATTCGACATTTGTCTAGATATATGACAAATGTCGAAACAGTCCTTTTAAAAGCAGATTTTTGTTGTAGCGATTGATAATTAATGCACACACCTACAATTGCTTCCTTGGTATACACATGTTTTTTGCGCAATACGTCTGACTATATCAAAAATGGACCTCATCGTGCTTGAGAAGTACACTAATTAGATGTTGAATCCCTTCGAAATTTAATGAAAATATAAATTCACATAAGTGGTAGACTTTCATAGGATATCTTATTCTGTGCACTTATCACTAGAACTACTTGTTTATCCCTAGCTGAGTGCATTATCAATTGGGCATTGCCTTTATTATTGGTGAAATCCAGCAGCTCACACAAACATTATCACTTACACGCACTTATCTATGGAAATATATATGTATATGTTAGGCACTTAAAAATGTTATGATCTAAAATTATGTTCATATTATTATGAACAGATGATATAACTCGTGATTCATTCAAGGCCGATATTACCCGTCGACGCAGATAGACTCGTAGATCTTTCGGAGAAATTTTCTTTCAAAAAATCCAAGAACACAAGTTCCCATGCTTCTGATCCATACACCAGCACGGGTAGTACCAGCGTCTTGTAAAATGTGAGTTTGGTCTGGCGGGAGGTGGCCTTGTTTCTAAACTGCTTACTTAGACCATAGTAGAACCTGTTGGCCATCACAATCATTCTCAGAATTTCAAAACTGATGTCATTAGATTTATTTATGGATGTACAGACGTATATAAAATCGTTGAATACCTTCAAGCTGTAGTTGTCAAGTTCCACAGTTGGTACGCGTCTACTGAACGTCTTGCGCGTTAATACCATCAACTTGGTCTTCTCACCATTACTGCCAATCTCACTTTGGTAGACTCCTTCTAAATTCGTTCAAAGGTGGCTGTTACCGCTCGCAATGTTCCAGCCATAATGTCGATGTCATCGGCGTAGGCTAGTAACATCTGTTGTTAGGTGTATAGAGTGTCATTTCTGTTTAACTATGCCTCTGGTATGACCTTTTCCAGCAGGATGTTAAAAAGGTCACCGACAAAGAGTCACGGTATTGAAGGGCTCCGAGGGTCCTTTCCGACTTTAACTGCTGACCTTGTGCCAGTTAATGTTATCCTACATAGCCATATTAGTTTCGCAGGAATGCCGAAAGCAGACATGGCTTTAAACAACTCTGAACGGATAGTTCTGTCGAATGCGGCTTTCAAGTCGACGAATAGGTGGAATATGTCGATGCGTGTTTCGTGGGTCTTTTCCAGGATTTGGAGAAAAGTGAAAAACTGGTCAATGGTGGATTTGCCATGATGTCTGATGCTGCATTGGTATGGTCCAATAATGTCAGTGACCACTGTATTCAGTCGTTCAAGCAGCACCCAGGGTAGCACTCTTTTATGCGATTAGAAGGAGACTTATTCCTCAACAATTGGTACATATCGTCTTGTCTCCTTTTTTGTGCACTATGACCCATAGGATGCTGAGGTTCCAATCATTGAACATGCAATTCTCCAGCCAAATTGAACAAATCAGTTGGCGCATGCTCCTGACCAGCATTTGACCACCGGTCTTGAATAGTTCGGTTGATAATCCATCGACACGTGTTGCTTTACTTTTCTTCAGCCGATTATTTGATATTCTGACCTCATTTTGGCTAGGTTATTTACAATATATACCCTTATCTCTTATTGATTCTGGGGGTATCTTATTCGCCGTTACTATTTGATACAAGAAGCTTTTCAAAATCATCCTTCCAGATCCTCAACAACCTATCTATATCTGTCATCAGGTTTCCTTCTTGATCTCTACAGACGAATGTGCCTGTACCAAAGCCTTCGCTTTGGTGTTTTACTCATTGGTAAAATTCCCGGACTTCATTCTGTTTTCTGTACATCTCGATTTGCGGTTTTTCCATCAGTAGCATTACAGCACTCCTGATCGTTCCATATGTTTCTTGAAGGTTGTTTTTGCTGCCGTTTGTAGGGAGTGGGTAATTCTTTGTCATTGTGCTTCTATATTATTATCGGGACAAGTAGTGCTTTCGATTAGCAAGTGGGGATCGGAATAGGCTTCTGTTATCTATAGTGTTTGCACCTTTTCGACGTCGAATTTCCTGCCCAATCAAGCGAATGCCGTTGTCGGATGTTTCTGAATTTTCCGACGATGGGCCAAAAATAATTTCCCTTCCGATTTTTGCATAAAAATCCCCAAAAAAATATTAATGTCATGACCAGGGCATTGGCCATATACTGTTTATAGGCGCTCGCAAAATATTCCTTTGGTCTGCTCATTTTTGTCTTCCGTTCGAGCATAGGTCCATATAACACTCATGTAGAAGAATTTCGTTTTTATAGGGATTATATCAATTCTCTCATCTATTGCAGTGAATCTGAAGACAAAGTCTTTTATTCTCCTGTTAACCATAAATCCGCAGCTAAATCCGTGACTCCTTTCATGACAGCCATAATATAGTGCCTAATCATTTGATTTACATACGTCTGTCCTTTCCATCCATTTTCCTGTAAAACAATAATATCGGCTCTGTACTTCTTGAATACATCTGCCAAGGCGAAAACTGTGTCTGTTCTGTTCAACGTGCGTACATTCCCAGTGCAGATTCGCCGATCGTGGACATTTATACGTTTGCGGGTTATCAAAATTAGAGGGTTTGATTTTCTTTTCCGCCGCTTTTTCATGGTAGCTGGGGTTTGCCAAGTTTGGGCCAAAAACCCGACGCCTTAACCGATTTTTATAGTTCTTATGGGAGAACTCGCGGCACATATGAGCTCCCTATTTCAACGGATGTTGAATGTAGCTATCCCAGGTGACACCGTGGGGAGGTCAGTGTCCACTATTGAGATGAACCAGGGACCAAGATAAGCCTGGGCATTGTCATGTTAAAGCCAATCAGAGCCCTTGGTGCCTATCATTCCCTCCGTCACCCTGACATTAGACTTGAGAAAAAAACAGCTGACTTTCCCTAACTGGGTGAACTTATTAATATATCTTGCTTGCTAGCCAAGTTTCATTGCTGCTTTTTGTAGCACAACTATCGATGCCAAATACATCCAGTCCACAGCTATTGAATTCAATTTAATTATTTTTTTAGAATATGCAGTGATCCATTATCTTATTATTTCAACCATTTTATTTACCCTTATTTTATCCATATATCATCATATCATTGTTCACCTCACCATCAACGCTACGCACCAGCTATTGCGCTGTTCAGTGTTAAAGGCCTATTTGCACCAATTACTAATCCATCACCCTATAACAATCTAATAAAAAATCACCCTAAATGCAGAAGATGGCTGTAAAATGCATGAAATTCTCCCTCAAAAACACCCACTCTACACTTGGCTATTACTAACCTACAAATATTTTTATTTTCTTTTTCAATTGCCACCCAAAAAAAAAAAAAAACACAACTCTAGGTTCCCAAAACAAAGTATCGGATTTGGATATAATATTTGGTGATAGCAGTAATATGCCACCCTATTCTGGAGGTGGTGGTAAATTTTCACGTTCCGGTGGTTCGCTGTCCGATGCAGAGTTGATATTTGGTACCTCCTCTACAACATCCAGTTATAAAACCGATCGTTTTGGTTCATCGAAAAGTATGAGTGTTACATCGGATCGTCATTCGGCTAGTAGTGGTGGTGGTGGCGGACCAGCACCCTATAAAATCTATGAGGGTATACAAAATGCTGGCTTCAGTGATTTTGGCGATAGTAAGAAATCGATTGGTGGCAGTACCAGTAGTGTGAATGCTACATCATCATATTCTAGTTGGAGAAATACGGCAAAAAATCAAGATACCGATGATGATGATTTAGATTTGAAATAAATTAATGCGGAAAAATAACAACAGCGACACGAATATAGTTAAAACCTCAAGCAGTTAACTAGTGTTAGTGTTAAAACAAAAAACAAACAAATACCACCATCATTTAACCACCATAAAATGAGATTGAGAAGGATAAAAAAAATTGTCATTTGATTTGCTGAATAGTAAACAAAAACCTAAATGCTGAAACATAACCTCAAAAAAGAAAAAAAAATATGGCAACAATGTTATGTACTTTGGCCCTGCTGATTACTGCTGCTCCACGAATTGCTGCTACTGGTAAACCTAGATATCGCCTCTAAAGTTTCCTGGTTTCATAAAAAAATTTATTACTCCTCCTAATTCAGCAGTATGCCACCACCATGCCACTATTAACCCTCTCTGCAGCATAATTACTACACATTCATACAACTCTGCGTTTCTAGTTTAAAGTTCGTAATTATTATTATTATGTTTGAGTTAGAGAAATATGCTCTGCACTCTCTGGAATAATTGTTAAATGATCACCAAGTAAAAAACAAATATTTAATTGTTAAAATTTAGTTCAATAAATAACAAACAACAAATTAGGGATCCCTAGGTCAACAGCGGGATCGCCTTTTGTTTTGGTAGCAATCAAACGCACGCATTCAAAGCACGCATTTCACAATGGCGCACAATTCAAAATGAAAACCAAAAACGGAAATACATACCAACATACACCCTAGATAAATATCCTAGCTAAATTGTTTGTTCAAGATTTTTTGTTTGGGACTCAAAACCCCCACTTTGCTCCTCCTCCCTTTAATTGTTTAAAATAATGTTGAATTATATTTAAAAAAATAAAAAAACTCTTACAACAGGCAAATATTGAAACAAATGAAAAAAAATGTATTTATACATTATATACATGATACATACAAATATTATTATATATATTACAAATTATATATACATACTATAAACAACATTATACATACATATACATATATATTAAAAAATTACAAACAAACAAAAAATAAATACTTAATTAATACTCCAACATGAGACACTATATGAAAATACAATGACAATATTATGCAAAAGGATGCTAACAAAGAGGATACTCCAAAAACAACAAAAAGAAACAAATAAAAGAGATTTAAAAATTATTACAAACACTAAAATATTCTATAAAAATTTGCTAAGTTTAATGGAATGTTAATGAATGGAAAAATATTCACACACAAATAAACAAGAAACGATGTTATTATTCCAATAAAAATCATAATACAATTTTATTTATATTTAATCATAATAAATTATAAACAAAAAGTATTCATAATCATTATAAGTTATACATAAAAAAAATTAAAAAAAAAAAAACATAAATAAATACACATATAAATGTCCACAAGTCTTGATGAAACATGCAATTCATTCCTAAATGGAAAATCTCCAATAGGTCTTATATACATTAATGGTCTTGAAAAGGTCTTATGTAGGTATGATGCTCTCTATAGACCACTATATTTTTATATACGTCGTTTTTATTTAATAAACTTTTTTGGTAACGTTTTCATAATAAACAGATTTTCCTTATTAAAATTCAATAGTCCTTGTTTTTGAAAAATCAAGAAATTGTACTCAATAGATGATTAATGGATTTTCTTATTAGAAGATTAAAAGGTCTTCTTAGTATGAGCAAAAATGTCTTATAGTTAGAAGACTAGCCCTATTGAAAGGCCAAAATGGTATTCTCATTAGAAGATTATTTTTATTGAAAGGCCAAAACAGGTATTCTTATTAGAACCCGTATATTTTTTGTTATTTTCAAAAATAATGCCAAAATACATTTTTATTACACCTTCTTAAGACCCATGATATATATTCATAGTTTTTAAAAAAATCAAGATATTTTGCGATTAATCGATTTTCTAATAAGAAGATTAAAACCTTTTTCTAGTAAGAGCGAACATGTCATCTAATTAGAATACTTTTCCTATAGAAGGACCAACAAGCTATTCTTATTAAGAGACAATTCCTATTAAAAGGTAAAAATATATTCTTATTAGAAAATCAATTTGTTTTTTGTTATTAGAAAAATAATGATTCATTATTATACCTTCTTAAAACCCGTGATATTTTCCAATTAAAAGATAAATGAATTCCTTAAAAATTCCTTATAGAAGCGAAAATGCATTCTTATTAGAAGATTATTCCTATTGGAAGACACAAAGATATTTACATTAGAAAACCAATGTGATATCTTATCACAAGATCAATAAATCTTCTTCAAAAACAATAAGATTTCTTATTAGAAGGTCAAGAAGATTAAATTACATTATCTGTTAGAGAAACATATGAGTAATATGTTTTCTTATTGGAGGAACAATATGTTTTAATATTAGGAGAACAATAGGAATTCTTATAAGACTCCAATAAGCCATTTCTTTTGAATGTCTATAGTCTTTCTTTAAGAAAATCAGGGAGCAATAATACTAATGGGACTTCTTTTAAGACTCCAATAGGTAATTTCTTCTGAATGTCAATAATCTTTCCTTAAGAAAGCCAATAGGTATAATTATTAGAAGTTCGTTTTTAGAGACCAAATCTAAAGGACCAAATCTTTGAAGGTCAATAAGACTATAAGAATACCAACCTGATTTCTTATTAGAAGGCCAATAAGTATTCTTACAGCAAGATCAATATGTGTTCTTCTTGTACGACCACTAAGTAATATTCTTATTCTTACTAGAACACGAATATGTCCTCTCATTAGAAAATTAATAGTTATATGTCCTCTTATTAGAAAATCAATAGTTATTCTTAGAAAAATGTGTTCTTGTTTTAAGAGCGAAATGTTTTCTTATTGGAGGACCAATAGGTTTTGATATCGAGCAATCGATTTTTATTAGAGGTTTGCTTAATAATAAAACAGTCAAAAGGGGTGTATGGAAGTATATCTTATTAGAAACCCCTTCGAATTTCAACATGCTTTTTTCTTAAAAACCCAACAATTTTTCTTGTTGGAATGCATCTTATAAAAACCCAATATATTCTCTTATTAGACAACCAATTGGCATTACTCGAAATCCAACAGGGCTCCTTTTAAGAATACCCATATGTTTCTTATTAACAATTGAATAACTAAGTCCCACAGATTTTCTTATTGGACGTACAAAAAGACTTGTAGTAAACAAATCGGTTTTCTGATCGGAAGACTAATATATCTTCTTTCTAGAAATCAAAAGTTTCCTTTTTAGCAGTCAATTGGGTTTCTTAACAGAATGTCACTAGGTATTCCTAATAGAATACTAATAAGTTTATTTATTCGAATACCAGAATGTTTAGAAAATTGATAGAAAACTATGTTTTCTTATTGGAAGACCAATGGGAAAAAATCTATATATTTTCTTACCATTCTCATTTTGTGACAGATAGGTATTCTTATTCCTATTAGATTGTCCATATACCTTCTTATTAAAATACCAATTTGTCTAGTTTTTAGAAGACCTATAAGACTTCTTACAAGTAGAAAAAAATGGTCTCATGAAAACGATAAATAGTTTCCTTGTCAGAAAACCAAGGTAGGTTTAAAAAGAAATCTTCCTATTAGAAGTCCAACCGTTACATCTTCTTATAAGGATTCCAATAGGTTTTCTTTTAATAATATAAATTAATTTTAATCTTAGAGTGGAGGGTTTTCTATTAGGAGTCTAATAGGTTTTCTTGTTAGAAGTGCAAGAAGTTTTCCTATTTTATGGTATTCCTCTAGAAGGCAATTAGAAGACCAATAGGACCTCTTATCAGAATACCAATAGCGTCCATGTTATATAACCAATATTTGTATTAAGAAGATTTCCCATAGATCTTCTATTTAAAATACCAAAATAACTTCTTCTTTGGACGACCCCGAAGATTATTATTAGAGTTCCCATAGGTCTCCTTATTATAAATCCAATAGGTATTTTTATTAGTAGTCCAAGGTATTCTTATTAATAGGCCAAAATGTCTTCTTACTGGAAGACTAAAAGGATTTCTTATTAGAAGATCTACAAATTTTCTTCTTACAAGATCAGAAGACCCCTATTTAGAAAAACAAGAGAGGTTTGGAAAATTGATTTTATTGGACGAACAATATAGAACGCAAATAACGTAGGTATTCAATACAAGAATAGCTTTCTACAAGTCTTCTAAAATAAGACGGTCTCTAAACCTCTGAATACAATGTATATAATTGCAGAGTCCTCAATATATCGGATGAATTGTCTTTTAATAAATAAAGAATATTTTATAACAATTTTATAGAATTTTTGAAATTTTCAACCCATCAAGACTTTGTGAAGCAGCAATATACATATATTTTCCAAATATGTTGCTACACGGTGTTCTAACATAACACACACACAACCACATTTACAAACAAAAACACTCTTCCAAAAACATAACTCAATAATTTCATTATATATGTAAATTATAATTAATTAATGAATTAAAAATTAACTAAATTAAAATAATCAATATATAAATAAATTATTAAATAACAATGTTGAGTATATTTGTTTTTTTTTTTTCAATGTTGTTAGATAATTTCCCTTTGCCCCAAAGCTTTTAATAATAATGTTAGCTAATCGATACATTAAACTATGTTGCTGAAAATGTTAGCCAATGGGAAAAAAACTCTCTCCATGAAGAGATCTTTTGTTGATAATGCAAATATTATTTGGACCCATTATATAGGTCTAAACTAGAAGATGAAGAAGAGGAAAAATAAAAACCATACACACATACAAGTAGAGCTATCACACTGACAACGAATGCTTCTCACCAAGATAACCAAAGAAAAAAAGATGCAATGTAAAGAAGCAGTGTAAACGATAAAGTAATATTAAAAAAATAAATACTCCAAAGGATATGTGTTACACCAATATATAATTATATACATATGTTTATGTGTCAATATATTAATATAGTCTTAAT